CAACAAGATAACAATAATGTATATGTAATGTAACATGTTATATGACAAATTTTATGTCTGCGTTACTGTAATGTGACAATTTATATAGATATGATCGAGTGATTTATTGGTGAATAGAATTTGAAGATTCTATATAAAAAAAAAGATATGTATGGTTGTGAACTTAGACCATATATACTTATAGACACGGCCTGTAGATATGAATCCACGAGTCGAGGTGAAGCAAAGATAATATCATCTACGTGACGTCACATGTAGGCATTTCAGCAATGGCTAAACGCGGCCTCGTAGATGATATTATCTTATCTTCAAGGCAGTTATCTGAAGCCGTCTATAAACGCGCCTTTGCTTTGCCCACATGTGACGTCATGTAGATGATATTATCTTTGCTTCAAGATAGTTGTCTGAAGCCGTGTCTATAAGTATATATGGTCTAAGGTTGTGAAAATATATATTGATTAAAAAAAGGATATGATACAAACCTTTAGTACAAACTATTATAGAAAGTGAAGTGAAAAAGAACAGTCTCGTGATGATTTTATGAACATGTTATTGTCAAAGCCTGAAGCACGGACGTTCTTAGAATTGTAAGTTGGTACTATAAGTTGGTACTGTACTGCAATAACCAAAACGGCGCTCTCAGCGAGATTTATGCGCATTGTCACCGCGCAGGCCAGTTGGCAGTCATAAGAAGGGCGTGCTCACGAGCGAGCGTCCTCGCGCCGCGAGCATGAATATGCATGTCCCGGGAAAATAAAGGAAGTGTGATGTGTAGATCGGCAATTGTTTTATTTCGGGCGCTTTACCTCGAGATGCGGAAAAAAGGCAGTTAGTCGTTAACGGTGGTGCGAGCCTGTAAGTCGTGCGTGTATCGGATAGTCGTGTTCAAAAAATGTACTAAGTTAATAAAGTGTTTCAAGTGTCTTATTACTTCGTGTGCCGTCTCTCTACTTCCCCACACGTTCTCTGTATGACGTCCGGCTTTATCCATCCGATGAACGAGAGGTCTTATCGATCACGATCAATACTCTCAGAGCAGCCTTACATTACCCTGCAAATACTTACCTGCCGCCTGTTCAGCCTAGACATTAAAAATAGAAGAATTCTTACAGAATTGTCTGGTCAATGCGGAACCAACCGTCTTGGTCAAAGCTCAAATAGACATTTGAAACGAATAAAATATTTTGTTTGTATCTTATATTATCGTAACGTGTGGGCGGGCACTTCCTCCCTGTGAAAACCTAACCTAACCTAACTAATCTATTCTATATATGTCACTACGATACAGTAGCGTACAATAAAAAGTACGCTAAAAAAACTATTTTGGGCTTGGACCAAGACGCTTGGTTGTTTCGTGCATTTACCAGTCAATCCTAAAAACACCCGTGCTTTGGGCTGTGACCATTTTTTAAATAGTTATAGTACTAGTTTATAACAAATAAAAGAATAATTATATATCACTTTCATTACCAATTAATTAATTTATATCGCAGTTATATATCATTTTAGTAATCTATATAATTGTTATATAACCTTTCAGTTACTACTGCAACAATAATATAACATTTTAATAACATGTTGTAGTCAGATTATATAACTGCAATTTGGTATGAGTGGGAAATTACAACTAACGTGAACGTTACATGTAACAAACACGTTATATTACTTGTTACTTTCCGTTTCATTACGGCAATGTTACGTTTATGTATCTGTGTTTGCTGGGAACAAACTGAGCATTAAAACCTGATTATAAAAATTACTTGAAAATATTAGATAAGATGATTAAATTGGCAAAATTAAAATATGAAAATAAATTAGTTAGTATTAAATAGGGGAATTTTAGACATCTTTTTGGCAATACATTAGTGATAAATTGGAAAGAAAGGCAAAAAGTGGTGCCAGTGAGATTGGTTTTATCAATTTTGATGGAAGGAGATTGGAAAATTCTTTTGAAATGGCAAATGCTTTTAATTCTATCTTCTGTAAGGTAGGGAAAAATCTAAGTGAAGAAATCGTTGCTCCACCTAATATGGCTCTCAAGTTACCTCGAACTAATGAGAATAGTCTGTTCTTGTTTCCCACTGACTTTACTGAAATCTATAATATTATTCATGACATAAAAGAAAAAGCAGGTGGAGTTGATAACTTAAACATTAAAACTTTGAAAACTATTTCTGATTATATTGCTGAGCCATTAGCATATGTGCTCAATCTCTGCATGGAGCAATCTTTTTGGCCAAATGCACTTAAGAACGCTGATGTAATTCCAATTTATAAATCAGGTGATACAGAAAAAAAATTACAAATTATGAACAGTCTCATTGATATCAAATATTGCCAAGATTTTTGAGAAAATACTTTATGCAAAAATTTATGATTTTGTCACAAAATGCAATTTGCTTGATGTTTACCAATTTGTTTTGTCCGGAGTAAAGACACTACTGATGCTCTCAAGTTCATCTTTAACATAATTTATAATTATGTAAAAATATGTGTATATAGCTTCAAGATTTTTTAATAAACAAAGGTATTCTGGCTTTTGAAGCAAACACTGATGTCGAAGTGTGAATATTTTATAATTTATAATAACTTGGATGTTAGCAAACCGACTATTACAACCTTTATCGACTTGACAAAGGCGTTTGATACGGTGAATCATGGTATACTATTGGAAAAGTTGTATAATTATGGCATAAGAGAACAGGCATATCGTCTCATACTTAGTTATTTGACAGACAGACAACAAAGAGTTAAGATAAACTCAGTCTATAGTGAGTATAACATCATAGACACTGAGGTGTCTCAGGGTATTATTTTAGGTCCACTTTTGTTCATTATGTATGTTAATAATTTGCTGTTTGGAATGCCTCAAGATTCTATAATTTCGTACGCTAATGACACCGTGATCCTGGTAAAGGATCTTTAAATTAAATTTGGCAGCAGCACAGGTTAAAATGAACAACTATCTACAGCGGATATCTGTTTGGCTCTCGCTTAACAAATTAAATATTGATAAAACTGCCCAGCAAACAATTTGGTTGCGAGATGTCGCGGTTTTGTCGCCAATCGCCGGCGAAATTTGTAGACCAAATCTATATCCATCTGTGTCCTCATTAGGATATGGTTTGGCGACCATATCTGTCAAACATGTGAGATGTCAAAATGAAATCAAAATCATAACAAGTCTGCTACTAGCAAAGCAAAGCCAAAGTGACGCACCAAATCCAGAACAAGATTTGGTGATCGTTTGTTGGCGCCAAAATCGCGCCAAATACACATCATATCTGTTACCAAAACTGTCACCAAAACAGTAGCAAATACAGACTAAATCTGCCGTTAGAAGCGCCGACAGATTGTTACCAAGCGCAGATCAGATCTGTCCCCTAGAATCCAAGTGGAATTACTACAAAAAAAAAAAAAAGAAAATCAGTGGTATATCTCGTCTTATCGGAAGAGAATTAATTCGTAATTTCACTCAAATTAATTTCTAGAAGACCTGATTCAGCTTGTTGATCAACTGATGAACTCCATTGAAAGAGACCGAATCTGAAAAAATCCTAAATGTGATATAGAGGGATTTGAACTCGAGACCTCCATATTCGCAGCTCCTGCACTCAGTCCGCGAGACCACTTGTGTTCCTTACTAACATATAATTATTTTTATCTATTTATTCTCAAGCTATCCTATATTTCATTTATTATTTATTTCAATTATTATTTTACTAAAAATGTTGCAATGCAATGTACCTGCAACAATAAATAAAAATACTTTTCTTCTTATTTTTAAATATAATTTAAAGTACATTTTTACAACGCGAACAAATGTTTTGTTAATATATGCTGATACTTGAATAAACAAAGTGTTTTTTAATGGATTTTTGGTCACTGAAAATGAATCCGGCGGCGAAATCGACCTAACACGTCAAATTTCTAAGAAAATTAAAGTTAAATGTATAACATACTGTCTATTAGCGTGAGAAAGAGCATATCAGTGTATCTCATTCACACTAGTGGACATTGTGTTACACAGTGTCGACCGTACGTAGCTGGAAAGCACCTATTGTTTTATATTACTCAACAAATACGAGAATAATACATTAAATTTATGATTGCTTCATTGCCGAATGCGTATAAACAGAAGTATTAAAATCTTACAGTTGAACTTTACCGGTTCCAGCATAAGTTAACAGTTATTGCCCGCATAAACAAGGTCTAACTGTAAAAGACTGTTCAATGTTTGTTAACAATCTGTTATCAACACAGGCGACAGATACAATCGCAGATAATCGCCACTTTGTTGCCTAGATGTCAAACAGATAGTCAAGTAGTCTTGCGTGCAAACAGTCCGCACATATGCACGAACAGATCTGCTTGGCGTTTGGTGGCAATCTGTCGTCAATGCGTTCAACAGATCGACCCGACTGCGGTCAACGTTTTGTCATAAACAGATGCTCATACGATTTTGCGGACTGTTTGATCACAGTATTGCTAAAGCAGATCTGCTTGCTATCGACCATCTAATTGTTATCAATTTCACTAACATATATGAAATCATTTTGGCCGCAATAGTCTCATGTATGTGCCAACAGAGTTGTTGAGTTTTTTGTCTCTATGTGCTAACAGTTTTGGCAGCACCAAAGCATGTTTCCGTATTGTAGCGTTTCTGCACACAGTTTCTGTTGCCAAGGTCTGCGCAGTCAGAAATTGTTTGCTGGGTGTATTTATGATCTTCGGTAATTATAGAGACAGCGTGCCTCTCACTCTGGACATACGGAGAGGGGATGGAGCTGTCAGAAGAGTGGACGAGTGCAAATACCTTGGAATTATATTTGACTTTAATATGAAATGGAACAAGCACGTTGAATATATAATAAAAAAACCTAAATATTTGATCTTTGTGTTTTCCAAACTCACTAAATATATGCAAGCAAAAACTTTAATACAAATTAATAATAATAGACCAAGAAGCCGAAGGTCAAGGTGACGGTAGACAATTCAAAAACTTCATGAAATGTATTCTGGACGTTTCGATCTTTAAGTAGATCATCCTCAGCATACTATAGCATAATAATACAATATGATTAATTGAATAGGAGAAACGTGAAACATGTACAATAAATAGATGAAAATATTAAAAATAATAAATAAATACGCATTTAAATTCAACATGTCAGCACAGAACCATCGAAAATAAATTGGCAAACACAAGGAGTCAATGTAATAGTCGACAATAAACAACACATGATGTTTATGTATCGAGGTCTGCAATAAAATAATAATCTGGTTGTCAATGTAATAAGATTGTCAGAAAGAATAAAAGTCAAATTTTAAGTAGACTTACTTTTAACGGCAAGATTAAAAACCGTACTAAATTGTCACTGAGCTCGCCAAAACAAACAACGAACGGAACAATGCATGACCGTTTTATAATAAAAATAATACATGTATGAGAAAATACTGAGAGTAATGTTCGAGAGATGATGAGAGGGGGAAGAAAGCGCCAAACAACACGTGATAATAATCACATGACTGTTCTAAAGTTTCTTGAGTAACAGTGAATAAATTTATCTTTAATCTACACTGAGAGAAAAAAATAGTTGCAGTTATCACAATTTCACTATAATTTATAGTGATTTAAGGTGCCAACTATTTTTTTATAGTTATTTTAACAATGCGCCTTATAGTTGATTCAATAATATATTATTGTTGCCATAGCTTTAACATGCA